CTGGGACTACACGCGCCCACCACCACGCCCAGCTAATTTTTATATTTTTAATAGAGATGGGGTTTCACCATGTTGACCAGGATGGTCTCGATCTCTTGATCTCGTGATCCGCCCGCCTTGGCCTCCCAAAGTGCTGGGATTACAGGCTTGAGCCACCGCACCCGGCCACTAACACATTTTTAGCGTAACATCATTTGGCTGATGATGGTGATTTGCTCACATCCTCCTCTCTCCCTGTGATCCTCCGGGGCTGAGAATCAGGTCAGCTAATGACTTTGGTTATCAGTCTCACTCTCACACCTCTGTGGAGACCTTGACAAGGCTCCAGGAAGCTACACTAACTCCGTTTAATCCTGGCTCAGCCACCTCCTAGATGTGTGACCTTGGGCAAGTTTAACTTCTCAAGCTCAGCGCCCACCCTTAAGGCTGCGGTGAGGATTACATGAGATGCCGCAAGTAAGGCATTTAGCAGGGGTGCTGTGCTGAGGTCATTCAGCCAATCCCATGCTGGTGCCCCAGGAGCAGGTTCTCAGACCTTTCAAAGGCTGGGGGATTGGGAGGCTGGACATGGCTGGATGGAAGCTGCACTGATGGGGTTCTCGCTACAATGATGGTCGCTTTCCTTTCTTTCAGGCCTGTGGTCAAATCAGGAGGCAAGCCCAGCCTTTCGGACAGATACGTCTAACCCTGTGCGACAGCCACTACGTTACTTCAAACTGAGATCCTTCCTTTGGAGGGAGCAAGTCCTTCCCTTTCATTTTTTCCAGTCTTCCTCCCTATGTATTCATTCTCATGATTATTATTTTAGTGGGGGTGGGGTGGGAAAGATTACTTTTTCTTTATGTGTTTGACGGGAAACAAAACTAGGTAAAATCTACAGTACACCACAAGGGTCACAATACTGTTGTGCACACATCGGGGTAGGGTGTGGAAAGGGGCAAGTCAGAGCTACCCGCAGAGTTCTCAGAATCATGCTGACAGAGCTGGAGGCACCCGTGCTATCTCAACCTCTTCCCCACCCATTTTACAAAGGGGGAGGCTAAAGCCCAGAGACAGCTTGATCAAAGGCACACAGCGAGTCAGGGTTGGAGCAGTAGCTGGAGGGACCTTATCTCCCAGCTCAGGGCTCTTTCCTCCACACCATTCAGGTCTTTCTTTCCAAGGACCCTGTCTCAGGGCGAGTTGCTTGAGTCTCCAACTGCAAGGGAACAAGTACTTCTTGATAGCTGGGATACTGTGCCCAGAGTCTCGAGGAGGTAATGAACTAAAGAGAACTGCCTGTGGCAGAGTTATATAGTGTAAACATCAGACTCTTTTTTTAATATAATCAAGTCTAAAATTCTGTAGACCTGAAATAAAATGAAGGGGTGAGCTTAACCCTTGAAATCTAATCCCTCTGTCTCTAAAGAAAATCTCTGTGAAACCCCTACATGGAGGCGGAATTGCTCTCCCAGCCCTTGCACTGCAGAGGGGCCGCTGAAAGAGGAGAGGCCACTCCTTTACAAATAGAATTTGAGCATCAGTGAGGTTAAACTAAGGCCCTCTTGAATCTCTGAATTTGAGATACAAACATGCTCCTGGGATCACTGATGACTTTTTATATTTTGTAAAGACAACTGTTGGAGAGCTGCTCGCACAGCCCTGGCCTCTGCTCAACTAGCAGATACGGGGATGAGGCAGACCTGACTCTCTTAAGGAGTCTGAGAGCCCAAACTGCTGTCCCAAACACGCACTTCCTTGCGTACAGTATGGTACAAGCAATGCCTGCCCATTGGAGAGAAAAAACTTAAGTAGATAAGGAAGTAAGAACCACTCATAATTCTTCACCTTAGAAATAATCTGTTAATATGGTATACTTTCTTCCTGATTATTTTCTATGCATACGTGTAAAATATGTCTTTCTTTTTAAAATGGGATTGTACTATGTTGTTATAAGTGGCTTTAATGAATAAACATTTGTAGTATCCTCTTTAATGGATAAATAGCATCCTATTTTGGTTGTGCCATCATTTATTTAACTATTACCTGGTGTTTAGTTGTTTCCAAACTTTTCCTACTATAACACTACTAAAATGTTGCATATATCTTTGTTTCTTTAGGATAAAGACCTAAAATTATTGAATCAGTCCTCACCTTCACCTGAGCCTGCCATTTTCACATCAATCAAAATAGATTAGCTTCATCCTGCATCACCCTTCTTCCTTTTGTTCTTTCTTGGTAACAGATGAGATGATGATGCTCCTTTCATGATAAATCACAAAGTCGTCTTGTTGTTGAGGTAAAATATACGTACTGAAAATTGCTTAAGTTGTAAATGTACAGCTCAGTGACATCATAAAGCAAACACACCCATGTAATCGGCCCTCCAGAAGTCTGTTGTAAGTTTTAAAACCAAGATACTTTTAGAGAACAGAAAGCAAGAGTGGCTTTCCGTTCCCTAAGTGAAGTAGCCTGTGTCTGTTAAAGCAGAAGAGAAAGCTGAGATATTACCCATGAGACAAATTCCCCATGTCGCTCCTCCCTGAGCCCAGCTGATCAGAGCCAGGAGGTGCCCGGCATACTGAGGGCCCAGTCAGGGCAGGTGCCAGGTTTTGAGGCCTCCTGTGGAAGCAGGGCCTGGGCTCCAGGCTATCTCCGGATTCTCCGGGGAAGGATGAGCATCTCACAACACGTCGCTCCCCTTCTCATGGGAGAAACTTGTGAAGTTGACCCTGGAGCACCAATGAATGTCAAAGAATCTGTGCCAGGGCAAAAACAGGAAAAGGGCATTTCTGCCACAAGCAGCATTTCCTCTTCAACCTTGAGCTCAAAGTTGGTGGTGGTGAGTGGTGGAGGGGCCACGCTTGGGAGGCTCCGGAGAGGGCCAAACACTTACTATTTTTTATACCCTCAAAACAACCAGGATTTCACTTGCCACAAGTAAAATGGTAAACAATAATTTGCACATTAAAAATATCAATATAGGAACATCCGTTCATTAGAGCTGGCCCTCTGGACCAGGAAGAAAACAGAAAACAAATCTGCAAGCCATGCAGGCCTAAAGCACGATCATGGTGGGCTGTGAATTCAGGCTTAGGAATCACTGACAACCACAGACCTCCAACCTGTTCCTTCTACACATGCAGAAGGAGCACCCACAGTTCAGAGCTGCCAGCCTCCGGTGCAACAATGTTTCATTTGCCAATTGCTAGCCTGAGACATTGGTTCTACAAACCCTCTTACCATGTATGTGGAAGATGCCCATAACAGGTTTTTTTTTTTGACCCTGAAAAACACAAAGGAGAGAAGTGACTCCTCTGTTATGCTGTAAACTTGGTATCAGCTGCTGGAATCCAGCCCCAATGGAGTTCATTTAACATTCATTCATTTAATAAAAACATATCCTATTCGTGGAAGAGAAAAGCCAGAGAGAAACTTGTCATTTTCCTTCTCCAGCTTTCAATTGGTTTTAAGAGAGCCCACTCTACCTTAGAAAATTCCCCATGAATCTTTATCCAAGTGGGTTGGGGAGAGATCTCCCTTTTCTGTCAGCCAGAAGCTGCCCCCATTCCTGTCCTGGGTCTGTGTGCAAATACTTCTCTGCACACAATTTTATAAATACCTGGGGGCAGCCCCACTTAAGCTGCTCCTAAAAGCAGGGTTGAGCAGCCTTTCTCCACCAAACGGAACTAAAAGAGGCCTCAGTAGCATAGTGGTTAAATGCAGAGGCTCTAAACCAGCCTCCTAACACCGGGCACAGCGGCTCAGGTCTGTAATCCCAGCACTTTGGGAGGCCACAACAGGCAGATTGACTGAGTCCAAGAGTTCGAGACCAGCCTGGGAAATATGGTGAAACCCCATCTCTACAAAAAATACAAAAAAATTAGCCAGGTATGGTGGTGCACACCTGTCGTCTCAGCTACTCAGGAGGATCTCTTGAGCCCAGACGTTTGAGGCTTCAGTGAGCCAAGACTGTGCCACCGCACTTCAGCCCGCGTGATGGAGCACAACCGTCTCAAACAAAACCAAAATAAACCAGCCTCCTGGCTCTGCTACTTATTAACTATGAGTTATTTGGCAAGCGACTTAATGTCTTGATCCCTCAGTTTCCCCACTTATAAAATGGAACTAATAATAGTCCCTACCTCGAAGTACATGAGTTTATACATGTTTTCTCAGTTGCCTAGAACAGCTCATGGAACATGGTAAGCAAATAATAAATATATGCTGAAAAAATGAACTTGTACTGAATTTTTCTAAACCAGTTTCGTATTGATTATACTCTGAATGCAGCTACTTGAGTCTGATTCTTCTCATTTCTGTTCTTTCCCCAAAAGGGTAAACAGTAGCCCTTTCTGATCGATATATATGTTATTACATATACCCCAGGATCTCAGCACCCAGTGCACGGCAGGACAACATCTCAGGAAACCTCCGTCCCAGATAGACTCAGCCCCTGACAGCACTGTGTCATTTGACATTCCCCTCAGCCTTGAATCCTGAGTGCCACCACCTGACTTCTGCTGTTGATGGCTGTGGCCATTCATTCCACAAGGGAGCTCTGTCATCCTTTGGGCAGCTGAGGAAGGGCAGAGGAGGAAAAGAAGTGTGCTGTACCATTTTGCCATCTCGGCACCTACTGAAGGCCCCTCCATCCCTTCAGACACATCTCACTTCTGTGTGCCAGTTACTATTTCCCCCTTTTCTGTTCCCCCTTAGCTGACCATGGTCTGCAAATGTCATTTACGTTTTATTGACTTAATAAAACTACGAGTTTATTCAACATTCACCATAGGTCAGTATCTCATTTAGGTCTCATCGAAACTATGATATAGGAACTACTAAAATTCTACTTTGCAGTTGAGGAAGCAAAAGTGTAGGAAGTTTCTATCACTTGCCCAAGACCACACAATTAGAATCTGAAAAGGTGGTAATGCGGCCACCTAAAAGACCACATTTCCCAGACAACCCTGCAGCCATACACAGTGAGTAAGTTGCCACATGGGACTTCCAGGAAGGCCTCCTAGAGGGGCTCTCTCAACGGGGAAGTTCGCCCTTTCCCCACCCACTTTCCTCTTCCTTCCTGCCTGGAACACAGCTAGGATTAGACAAGGGTAAATTTGAGGTCGTATGTTAAGGCCATGGAGCAGAAAGGAGTCTGGGACCCTGATGGTCATGAAGCCACCATACAAACCCCATGCTATCTACTCCACACCTGCCACTAAGCCTAGTCCTAACAGCACAACCTAGGAAGGACAGAGGCCCTCAGCCCCACATTTCCTGAGTCATCCTTCAAAGTTTTCAAGACAATTTAATAATTTCCCGTGAAATTCCTCTTTAGGGCAGATTAGCTCACTAATCTGAAATATCTGAAATAACTAAAGGCAACATAGTCTTGTGCTTAAGAATGAAAGAAAACCTAAAATGCTTTTCTAATCTGTTCTGAAGGGGAGAGCTTAGTCTTGAATGCTGAGGACATGTCTTCTAAGAAACATTTTTACTTCAGAGGGGAAATGACACACCAGAATCCTTCATTTGAATGGATCCAACACTTGCGTGGTGGCTAAATGTCCTATTTATTTACTGTTTGTTTATTTATTTATTTTGAGACAGAGTCTCACTCTGTTGCCCAGGCTGGAGTGCAGTAGCCCAATTTCGGCTCACTGCAACCTCCACCTCCCAGGTTCATGCAATTCTCCTGCCTCAGTCTCCTGCCTCAGTCCCAGTCCCAAGTAGCTGGGACTACAGGCGCACACCACCGTGCCCAGCTAAGTTTTGTATTTTTCAGTAGAGATAGGGTTTCGCCATGTTGGCCAGGCTAGTCTCGAACTCCTGACTTCAAGTGATCCCCCTAGCTCAGCCTCCCAAAGTGCTGGGATTTACAGGCATGAGCCACCATGCCCAGCCACTAAATGTCTTTAAACAAAGTAAAAAGGCCAGCCCCAAGTGGAATTTGGGAGAATTTTACACAACCCACACAGTGTAGGAGCCCGATATAGAGACTGGCAAAGTTAGAAATTCATCCTTTCTTAGAAAACAGATAATAGAGAGAAATGGGAATACAGTTAAAATGCTAGAGCAAGGAAGCCCGCTATCACTTGAGACAAGAACCTAACACTGCTTCTCTAAATAATGGGAGGTTCAGAGCACTGTGTGAGGAGCACATTGCCTTCCTGTATTTTCTTCATGACCTTGATTCTCACTTAGAGAACAAGTCTGCCTGGTTCACCACTCTATCCGAGACCTCCAAGAGTACCCGAGACCAGTACTCAATAAATACTCACATTGACCTTAATTACCTACTGTCCTCCCTGGCTCTGGCCTTGTCCCCTCCCCAACTACCCTTCTTCCCATTATAGCTAGAGTGGGCCTTAAAAACACAAAACGATTACAGCTCTCCTTTCTTTTCCAGCACCCTCTTGTTATTAACCTCATTACAGGACCTTGGCTCTACTTTTCTGTATTTTCCAGCAGATTGTAGGCTTTCATCTCAGTGCCCAGCAGAGTGGAATTTTAAAAATCTGTTAGATGAGTGACTGCTAAGATGTCATACCACATGCTAAAATACATGTCTTTTTATTAAAGGATTCTACATGCCAATGTTTAGCATGAAGCACTTTGTACTTTTCTAAGCTGAAAGGAAGTATAGCTAAATAAATGCAACATTGCCTGACACACGAGAGCTCAGTAATTAGTAGTTCTGGATTATACAAGCCTTCTAACATTGAGATGTATCGCCACATTTGCTAGCATAGAAAGCTCACACAAGGATACGAAATACCCTACTGCTACAAGGAAAGTGTTTTTTGTTGCTGTTGTTTTTAAGTACTTTCTATCATAGATATATTGACAGATTTCAAAGAAGTATGGTGGACAAGTGGACCACTGCATCACTGTCCCATCATGCAAGGTTTTAAAAGCTGGCTCATAAATGGTAACACTTTTACATTGTTGGTTCAACCATTGTGGAAAACAGTATGACGATTCCTCAAGGATCTAGAAGAGAAATACCATATGACCCACCCATCCCATTACTGGGTATATACCCAAAGGATTATAAATCATGCTGCTATAAAGAAAGACACATGCACACGTATGTTTATTGCGGCACTATTCACAACAGCAAAGACTTGGAATCAACCCAACTGTCCATCAGTGACAGACTGGATTAAGAAAATGTGGCACATACACACCATGGAATACAATGCAGCCATAAAAAAGGATGAGCTCGTGTCCTTTGTAGGAACATGGATGCAGCTGGAAACCATCATTCTGAGCAAACTATTGCCAAGAACAGAAAACCAAATGTTCTCACTCAGAGGTGGGAATTGAACAATGAGATCACTTGGACTCTGGAAGGGGAACATCACACACCAGGGCCTATTATGGGGAGGGGGGAGCGGGGAGGGATGGCATTGGGAGTTATACCTGATGTAAATGACGAGTTGATGGGTGCTGACGAGTTGATGGGTGCAGCACACCAACATGGCACATGTTGTGCACATGTACCCTAGAACTTAAAGTATAATATACTTTATAAGAAAAAAGTATAATATACTTTATTAAAAAAAAAACCAAAAACAACAACAAAAAGAACTGCCTCATTAGCAGGTCACGGAATCAAATTAGTCTTGGGGAGCATTAAAAATAAAATAGCACATCACGCATTTGTAGCACTATTGTTTTGTAAAATGTTTCAGAATTCTAAATTTTGTGTACACAGGGTTATGTGGTTAAGCTTCTTACTGCGTGCTAAGGAAAAAGAAAAGTTAACAAAGGCTGTCTTCTGCTGGGATATTCTTTATTATCAAGTTTCTCTGCTGGGGGGTGAGAAGCATCAAGCTGTTTTGTTTAAAGATGCATTTTTAGTCCTTATTTTGTCATTACCAAAATTGTTTTTCACCTTTGATGCTCACCTTCCCTGTTTTGGTGGAGGGGGTAGAAAATGAATGCATTTTACCATACTGCAAATACAGCACTCCCTCAATTACCTAGATGCTTAAAGAAACACACTGATTTTTTCAATAACTAGAGTTCAAAGCACACTAAATGTAAATTTTCTTGATGACTAACAGATTTGCCCTTAGTCCTCAAGGGAAATTCTGTTCAGTAGGTGTGATCTTGACCCGCCACATTTGAGAGGGAGGATACTTCCTGAAACAGGAAGCATCCAGGACACTCCTGGTAAGGGAAGCCCGTTTTCTCATGACCATGCCGATTTTGGTTCAGCAGGGTTGAGCTGAGGCCTGAGATTCTGCATTTCTCACAGGCTCCCAGGTGATGCTGATGCTGCTGGTCCATGGACCACACTTTTTGAGTCCTGAGGAGCCCAAATGCTGGAGGGAAAGGTGGTGAGAGCTTGGACTGGCCTGCCAGGCCTCTTCTTCTATTACCTGGGCCACTAGCTCCAACCTGACTCGGTGGGACCACAAGGGTTTCCATAGGTAAGAAACATCCTAAAATCTCAGGTAACACCATTTCTCTTAAAAAATATACAAAAGCAGTACAGATAAATGCTTGGTCTCTACAACCTTGGCCTGCCATAGAAGACAAGGCAATTCAGTTTCTGGTCTTCCCTGGTAATGCTGACAGCACAAGTTCCAGTCCCTCCAGCAGCCTGTTCATCGAGCTGTTTCCGGGCTCCACTTTACCAGTCATGCACTCACTGCCACTCTGGTCAGTACACAGGGCAGGGTCCCCACTGTGCACAGCAGGGGCTAGAGGGGGCAGAAGCTTGGAAACATTAAAACAATTTCCTACTCAGAAACTCGGGACTCAGCCGGGCACAGTGGCTCACGCCTGTAATCCCAGCACTTTGGGAGGCTGAGGTGGGCAGATCACTTCAGGGTCAGGAGTTCGAGACCAGCCTGGCCAACATGGTGAAACACCGTCTCTACTAAATAACAAAATAAAAAAAAATTAGACGGCACATGTCTGTAATCCCAGCTACCCGGGAGGCTGAGGCATGAGAATTGCTTGAACCCAAGAGGTGGAGGTTGCAGTGAGCCGAGATTGGGCTACTGCACTCCAGCTCAGGCAACAGAGTGAGAGTCTGTCTCAAAACAACAACAAACAACTCGGGACAGTGCCCAGTCACCTTCTCTTCTCACTGTTGGTGGCACAGAAACAGAGTAAGATGGGGACAGATACTTTCTTAAATTCTTGACATGCAGACCCTTAGCAAATGCAGACAGCAACTTTCTCTTCTCGCAATCAGCACCTCCCTACTCCCTCCCTCATACCTTTGTCACCTGGCACATTCATACAGACCGGTTCCACAAAATACTTTTTCAATGTGCATTTCTTTAATTTTTAAAAATATACACAGGAGAAGCCATGTGTTTTACATAGGAATACACACATTAACAAAGCATTTCTTATAGTTTTCCAAAATTCTATCAGTCCGATATGTATAAATTAAATATATCAGAATTCTTAAAAGTTAAAATGAATTCCCTGAAACTACTGGATATGCTAGACTTTTTCCAAAATCAAATGAACAGAGGATATGGATGTGGTTTGTGTTAAATAAGGTTTATTGTTAGCTTTATTGCCTATAGTCTATAAGATGGAACTTTATTGTGCCTTTGCAAACAGGATACATTTCTTAAAAAATTGATCAAAATTTTCCATACATATAGCTCTATATGATAGATTACAGTGCAACACTATTCTCGTTACATAATTATAGAAATACTATAGAACCCAAGAGCACGGGGTAAGCAAAATAAATACAATCCTGAGCCATCTGAACAAGATGATTTGATGAATCCTTTAGTGTAAGTTTAGAAAACACAGAGAAGGAAAAAAATACATGCATACTGCAGTCATGAGCAAAATACATCAAACACCTGTTCCTTGCCAGGCGCAGGTGGGGGCAATGGTGAATTTCAGACACATGCACACTCACTCACGCTCCCATTTTCTGCTTCCCTCCCAGTCCCAACACATTCATTCCCGCCCCTTCCCAAAAAAAAGATCAGGCACTAAATCATAGTGAACCCCACAACTGCCTTGCTGAAGGTTAAGTGACTGCTACAAGAAGAGTGTATGTAGGTCTTCACCCATAACATGAAACAAAGCAAGTGCTGTAAGCCAATTCCAGCTGCTTCTTCCTCTTTGAAAGTAAATGAAGCATATGCCCACTACTTGAAACTGTAGCGGAAAGGTCTTGAAAACAAAATTTTGTTTCTCTTGCTATGTCTTGAAGTAAAATCAACAGTGGAAAATTCATCCGAAAACTAACTGCCTCATCTGCTATTAAAATACACTTGCCATTCTATTTTTGGTATCTATTCAATTATAGTTCATTAAGAACAGTCCATGAAGCTTGTACCTGCTTATGGTAAACATCAGTGTACCACACAAAACCTGCCACAGCTAGACAGGCTTACGAAACACCAAACCTTCTATGTGTCCCTTGCTAACATTCCCTCAAGACCACAGCATTCTAGTGTTACCAGAGATAAAGTACGTATAGTTAAGTGATGAAAGAAAGGTATTTGGTTTGTGTCGTCACCTTATACATCCTAGTGATGAAACTAACCAAACTATGCCTCCATGCCTTCCCTGAAAATCACCTGAGTCGGCTGACTAAACAGACTGAGCAGCGTGGCTGTCAGTCCACTTTATCAGAGGTTGAGCTGGAAAACCAGAGGGCTAATGTAGTCTACCAGCAGCTTGTCTTGTGCGGATAACCAAGAGTTCTTGGCTGTTGCAGTATCCACTGTCCCAAAGGCTAAGCCACTGAGGTGGAAATCAATCACAGCATAAAGAAGACTGAACTGAAACTGCATAACCTGTGGGACTACCTGGAGAGGACAAAAAGAGGATCCTCATTTCCCACAAAACGTGGTGTGGGTTTTAGTGTCTCTGTATACATTAGCTGCTACAGAAAAGTTAAGATTTACTTCATAACTTTATTTTCAATTAAATGCTCACACACTCAAAAAATACACACTCTATGAATATGAGGTGGCTCTTTTCTTCAAAATTTTTAAAATAAAGAGGCACCAATACCCGTTCATTTATGTATTAGAAGTCTCATATCATCACCAATAAAACAGAAATAGCATCTGTGATGATCACACAATGGAGAAAAAAGATCAAGAGACGATCTTAGCCACTGTAAAACTGTACTTGAACACTCAGATGCTCTGGCTAAGTCAGAATTTAAAGATTTGCTAAAAAGGTTTTATTGGTTTAGCATAGTCCCATGGCCTTTGTCTATAACTGATATGTGGAAACGGTTTCCAAGGAAATTTAAGAAACCATTCTGAAATTCTGTCTTTCATGTACATTATAATTAAATGTGACTGTTATAAACGTTGCCTCTATCTTATTACCTTTTGTAAAGTGGAGGTAAAGAGACAAAAAGCATCCTCCTGGACTGCTGACGTGCAGAAAGTATCAGCGATGATAGGGTCGTGACAGCATTTATGGAGTTTCTAGGGTAGGGAGGGCAGAATGCTGTACCTCAGCATCTTTGGTTAAGGTCTGGCCTCTTTAAATCCACTTCTCCCTCACATTTAGTCTCTCATGAATTTTAAGTCCATGCACTTAAAGGCAAGATATAATTTCCATGTAATATGCCAGATTCATAAGAGTTTCAGAATTTTGGTCCTCGCCCTGCCCAGTGGGAGTACACGGACCTTAGACAGAAAGCTGCAGAGTCCAATGCTTCAGTTAAAGCATGTTCTTTTTCAAGTTGTCTTGGGCTGCACAAAAAACTGTCAACAGTTTTTTGGCTCCCAGCACTGGGAGACGGATAAAGCTGAGCTCTGGCTTTTGTCCTTAAAAGCGGCCCAAGCCGACTATATCAAGTGCTTGGTCATCAAACACATTTACCACCAGCCTTCAGAGTACATCTGTCTTGTTCAAACCTTACGTGAAACCTAAATGTTGTGTAGGTGTTTGGGGTGGAAAGATGAGAATAAGCTAAACTTGGCCTAAGGAGAAAAAGGGTAAAACATAAAAACAAAAAAACAACACTCTAGGTTTTAATTCAAAGGCAAAAAAATATATATAATAAACTGGTTTACACCCTTGGTCAGACTGTTGCCTGGAATTCTCTACCTTGTCTTTCACAGTCCAAAGAGTTTGTCTCTGTTCTCTTCCTTCACTGCTTTAGTAAAGAGAGGGGGAACTTCAAAGAGGACTCCAACAGTGAAGCAGAATCATGGGGCAAAAGTCGCTATGGGGCCAGACTGAGGTTGGACCAGACAAGCACTCCGAGCCGGGCCAATCGCAACCGCTGGCGAACCCGCACAGTACGGAGTAGCCATCCACATAGGCCTGGCCACACGACACTCAAGCAGAGCTTTCCACAGTACTCTTTCCCTTCACAAACAAACCCCAGCTCTCCCAGGTACACATTTCAGAAAAAAACATCCAGGTTGGTGTACTACTGTAAAACGCTGCCAGTTTCTAATTAACTTAGCACCAAATCTGTGATTCCCCCTCCCTCGAACCAAGTCCATCTGTAGTTTAAAATGTGAAGTGCCACATTTCTTTTTGCTTCTGTGTTTTCTTTTCTTCATTTGCTTTGAAAGTATTCCTATCGATGTTCACTCCATGTCAGATGAAATAAAGTTGCAAAATATTTGGTGATTTCCATGTAACATTCTTATACTGAAGTCACTTCATGGGTTTCAGTCAGAATTATGTCCACAGAAGTCTTTTCCATGTAGTTCATCATACAGAGAGACTCTTACACATGGCTATTTTTGGACAGTGCATTAAATGAAGATACCTCACAGGAGAAAAGATCATTATCTGTATCCATTAGAATAATATACAGATTCACAGTCAATGAGATGATACACTTTGCAGAAGAGAGGCATCAAACATTATACTATTCAAACACAAAAACAGCAATAAACATTCTGCACTACAGAAAATTTGCTAGCTTCTAACTTTAAGGATTTAAAGTGATGGGTCTGGTAACTGCATTTTAGAACTGGAACATGCTGCTTTCCTTCCAGATACACAATGTTTGATGCTGGTGCACATATATAATACACACATGCACAACACTGTGTCTGCAATGATACAATAGGGCTACCAAGACCAAGAGAGCAAATATCAACTTAAGAACACTTCTAACTTTAGAATTTCATTTTATTAAACATACTTATAAAACAAGCACCTCTTGGCAATAAAAGCAAAAACAAACAAACAAACAGAAACCAAAACCAACCAAACAATAGTACTCCTTCCACTCTATGCTAACGGAAGACTTCTCACACCAGCCGGTTAAACAATGAAATTCTTAAACACGCAGCCTGCTGGGGCTGCATGCAGAGCTAAAATGCAGGTGTGCTGACTTCTTGGAGCTGGAGCAGAGGAAAACATCAAAAAGCAAATCTGGACTCTATCACAGCTTGCTTTCTTAAGCAAATAAAAATGCAAATTAGTTTCATAACCACAATTCAATTTATCAAACTTTTTCTGAAGAATTTTCATTTACTTATGTATACATAACAGGAAATAAAACTTTTTCACAAACACTCTCAAGGCTTACGATTATCAAGAAAATGACAAAAGTAAAAGCAGTGAAATATTAAACACATGGTGGGGAGGTCAATTTCTGTTTCTGCTCTTAAAAAGTAAAAAAATCACCATATAATTAAGTACAAAAACCTGCATTGAATGACAACTGCTGGTGTATTTACTTGATCAGAAATGAAGACCAAGAATATAATAAAGCCCTATGATAATATTCACCGGGAGCACTCCCCTCAGTGTGTGTACACTAACAGGTTGGCAAAGTTTCTGGAGCATTAGCTTATAGAAACACAGGAGTCCTTGGTTAGCTGCATTATATGGAACGTTCTCTTCTGAAATGCGCCCACGACTCAGTTTCACTTACAAATTGCAAACTAAAGTTATCTCTTCAGAAAAATATCTGTTTGGCATCTCCTGGACTTTGTTCCATTGGACAGTAGGGACATTTTAATCTAAAGACAAAGAAGAAAACACTGAGTGAAGGAGCAGACTCAGTACTGAGCATTCAACTTTTATCTTGTTATACAGTATCTTTAACAATCACACGCACATATAAGAACACACAAAAACAACAAGTCTGTTTGTATTTTGCTTTGAGGATGAATTATGCTTTCCCTTAATATAACCACGAAGATTTGAAGGGTCACAAATACATACCACCCATGCCAGATCCTAAACTGAAAGCCTTTTCTTCATTGAAAATTGTTTCTTAAACAAAACAAAGATAACTTTTCTGGATATCATTTTTGGGGTTTTGAAAATAAATTCAATTTCTCCTTCCCAAAGGTTTAGCTTGCATCAGTCTTTAAATGAATTTCAAATGTACTGGTCACACAATCCATTCAAGGGCAGCAAATCTGATGGCAGCTTTACAAGCCCACACCAAGAACGGCCCACATGCCTCACAGTGGCACATGAAATCAGTACAGCCTGAACTAAGATCAACAATTTTGGCTGGGCATGGTGTCTCACACCTGGGAGGCTGAGGTGGGCGGATCGCTTGAGCTCAGGAGTTTGAGACCAGCCTGAGCAACATGGCGAAACCCTGTCTCTACTAAAAATACAAAAATCATCCAAGCGTGGTGGTGTGCACCTGTAATTCTAGCTACTCAGGAAGCTGAGGCATGAAAATTGCTTGAACCCGGGAGGCAGAGGTTGCAGCGAGCTAAGACTGCACCACTGCACTCCAGCCGGAGTGATGGAGTGAGACTCAATCTCAAAAAAAAAAAAAAAAAAAAAAAGCTGGGCTCACTATCTAAAATAAATTACAAATGCATATATCCTTTGAACCAGTAATTTCAATTCTAGGAATTTATGTATCAGGTATATAATTCACTTAGCACTGTGTTTTTTTGTTTTGTTTTTTTTGAGATGAAATCTTGCTCTGTTGCCCAGGCTGGAGTGCAGTGGCGCGTTCTCGGCTCACTGCAAGCTCCGCCTCCTGGGTTCACGCCCTTCTCCCACCTCAGCCTCCTGAGTAACTGGGACTACAGGTGCCCGCTACCACACCTGGCTAATTTTTTGTTTTTGTATTTTTAGTAGAGACGGGATTTCAGCGTGTTAGCCAGGATGGTCTCAATCTCCTGACCTCATGATCCGCCTGCCTCAGCCTCCCACAGTGCTGGGATTACAGGCATGAGCCACCATGCCCGTCCCCTTCACTTAGCACTGTTTAGAGAAACAAATGTTCATCAACAGGGAACTGGATACCCCATCATATTTCTATACACTAGAATATACTGCAGCTTTAACAAAAAAATAATGAGGGCTGTTTCTGCGGCATAGAGAAAGATCTCCAAGACACATCACCAAGTGAAAACAGCAAAGTATAGAACATTTTTTAGTATGCAACTCCATTTGTATAAAAAAGGGGAAAATCTATCACCTACCCCAAAAATTAAAGACATGCTTATAAATCTAATCACCAAATCCACAGATAAATTAAAAATACTCAAATCAGATACCACCCACTTTGCCAAATGAGTAGTTAAGAAATTTATTTAGTTCTAAATCTAGCTACTTTTTTTTAATCCTCATCACTTCTTATGCTCCTACCAAGTTCCAAAACAAAATTTATTTGCTAACATTTTTTAAAAGTCATACACTTACTTGCTACCATTAAACATTTTATTCAGGGCATCTCTTGATATAATATGACCACAGACCAATTTCATGGGTGGATTGTTATCTGTCGTTTGCTGACGAAGAATGGGGCAGGCAAATATAGAGTGATACCAGCACTTTTTACCAAGGTCCACTTCAATCTGTTAGAAAAAAAAAGTAAAAAAGCTGAAGTCATACTTCACAAAATCATCCACATGGTAATATATACTGTGCAGCAAAGAACATTGATCATATCTATTCACCTGAATGTAACTTTCTATAGCACTCTTCTAACTCAGATGAACAGTCTTAGTGATTCAAAGTGATAAATTAGCCTTCAAGATTATTTTCAAGAAAGCTGACAAAGTGTAAAAACAAGTCTGACAAAAAACAATGACCAGATCACCACCTCTAATGGGCAGATCACCACCTCTAATGGCTTTACTGGCTTGACACACAGTCTTTAGGTGAATTCAGATTTCAGTCTGCTCTGTCTTAGTGCATGTCAGAGATGCTTACAACATAAACGGGAAACTGCCAGATGCCAGGCACCTGCCTCCACAAAACAAGTGAAGGCTCAAGTTCTTTTCACTTGTTCAAGTTAGTGGCAGTGGAGCAGGAGTGCTGCTTGTGTCCTGACCACACTCAAGACCAGGACTGCATCTGTGCCTTTAATCAGAAAAGATCTTTGAGAAGCTGGGGCAACCAACTGACAGGGTTACCCGCTGGAAAAACAAGGTAACTGCAAATAAACCTGTGTACAGGTGTGGTATAAAAGGGGCAAAAAACTAAATGCGTAATGTCAGCTTTTCAGGGTCTGTGACACAATCATGACAGGAATGACAATTCCAGCCCAGAGTCTTAGTGCCTGTCAGAGACCTGGTGGAAACACACATACAATGACCTTTGCCACTCCACATCATAAGTGCACCATGGCAGCCACAATCTGAGTGCCTACCACGTGTCCCATCTCGTTCTAAGCATGCTTATGCAGCCTTCAGCAACCCCATAAAGAGAAAGCTGGTCCTTGTCTTAGAGATGAATACGCTACTGCTTAGAGAAGTTCTAGAGTTGGCAAGTGATTGTGCTGATGTTTAAAACCATGGTCCTTTCTAGGAGAGCAGTAGAAATACAGTACTAGAAGCCCGCTGATGACTGCAGGTGTTACAGGGACGACCTTTAAGAGCTCTGTACTTATTCTGTTGGCATTAGGAAAATGTAACCAGCACAAACCCATGATCTTATTGACGGCAATACTTAAGACAAAAGTAAATCCAATTAACTTTGCTTTTGTATTAGAAAAACCATCACAGGAGTGGTCTGTGAACTGCACTGCAGAACACACTGCATGCTACTGCATCTACAACTCTCACCACTTCTGATGTTTCCCTTCCCCAGCTTTCAAAGGCACTTCAAGTCAAAATTGTAATACTCCTCCTCCAGGGTCCCCAAAATGTACCAGGCTCCTCATTTGTATTGTTTAATCTTTTATATATATATATAAAAGAACTCCTGTCGAATGGCTACAACAATGTTTCCTGGTTAAAAGGTGAACATTTAAAGATGCCATATTCTTCTAAAGGCAGTTAAGGTAAATAGCCAACAGAAAATGGAACTCACAGGTAATTCATCTTTCTGGTTCCAAACTCCAGTACACTGCCTCTGTTCAATCACGGCTTTGATGTTAATTAAAGCTGGCAGCGCCACACAACCTGCTGAGAAACTGGGAGAGCAGAAGAGGAAACGTCAGTGCCAGGCCAGGTGTCAGGCCGCTTGGTCCAAGGAGACATCAATTTCTCCAGACTCTGTGTACCGCAGACCCTGGCCCCTGGACGGGGTGAGAGCCTTCTGTTCTGCGAAGAGTAAATCCAGCCATTTGCACTAGAAGAAAAATAACTTGTTTTCCCTCCCCTTCTTCCCCAGGCCCACTGGTATATTTCCTGAAGTTATTGAAAACCAATCCCAGTTAAAAAACAAAACAAAAAATGAAACTCTAAATTTACTAAATAAACCTCACCAATATGCGGGTAAATGCAGTTAAAGAATGCAAACGTTAAAAAAAAAAAAAAACTCATTTGCTAGGGTAATTTAACTTTAGCTTACTTCCTCAGAAGATAGAAAAATAAAGTTTTAAAACATGCATTTTAAAAAAGAAGGCAGCTTTGGAGAACCAATTAATTCAAATGAAGAGCAGGAATTAAGAACTACTACTCTTCCAAATACAGAAGTTGTAGTATCTGAGTTTGAAGGAAAAAGAGATGTTCTTGCACAAAATTCTTCATTCAGCAATACACAAGACATAACTTCCTTTCTTATTCCCTTCCTTACAGACTATATACCACCATACTTATTTTTCTTACAAAATGTGCTCCAAGGTATATGCTAATTAGAATAATGATACTCAAAATGTGGTCTGCAGATGGTGCTGATTTATATACCATTTTCGGTCCATAGGAAAGAAGTATAGAATTGAGAATAAGGTTTTTAGAGAATTTCATAACAGTAGATGGTGCTGGCTCACTCCTGTAATTACAGCACTTTGGGAGGCCAAAGTGGGAGGATTACTTGAGTCCAGGAGTTTGAGACCAGCCTGGGAAACACAGTGAGATCCCCGTCTCTACAAAATATATAAAAATTAGCCATTAGCCAGGTATGGTAGCATGTGCCTAGAGTCCCAGCTACTGAGCAGGCTGAGGTGGGAAGATGCCAGGAGGCTGAGGCTGCAGTGAGCCATGATGGTGCCACTGCACTCCAGCCTGGGTAACAGAATGAGACCCTGTTTCAAAAAAAAAACCATAAAGAATTTCATAATAATCTTACATTAATGCCAAAAAAGTTTTCATATTGCACAAAATAGCAAAAAAAAAAAAAAAAAAAAAGTTTAATGGGCTCAGTTCATCAGTCAAATGACATGCTTGCTCCTGAAACATTTTTTTGCATAGTTCCTCTTATCCCCAGATCACCCCTGTCCAGGGTAGAAGCACTCATTTCTCAGATCTGGAAGTGTTGGCAGCCAACTCTCAGCTGTGTCTGTCTCTTCAGGACTATCCTCAGTTGAAAAGAGTCATCTGACCAGAGTCATATCCAGCAAGTTGCTCCATGTGAGGGTACAAAAGCCCAGCCCTGTAGGCCCAATTTGGGAAAACTCCACAGGCCCATAGCAGCTCCAGAGTTCCTCAGGAATGGGAGAGACCTTGTTGCCACTCTAACACAGTCCAACTTTCCTCTCTGCCCAATCCTGCTGTTTTCATTCTCCCACAGGTGCTGATGTCAATAAACTTTCTGCATGTACATTCCCACTTCAGAGTCTTCCTCAGAGAGACTGACGGCAACAATGCCTCACATTACAGCTAATTGCATCTGTCTGCTCCTATGCTAGGATGGAGAACCCTGTGGAATACACCTTATTCATCTTATATCCAACACAGTGCCCACAGTGCCTCGCACATAGCAAATATACAAAACATTTGTGGAATTAAAAAAGTCATTTTCTTAAAACAGGTTCTTAAAATGTTTTGGTTTCAGGACCCCTTTATATGCTTAAATATTAAGGATCTCAAAGAGCTTTTCTTTTTGTGGGTTATATCTTTAATGCATTAGAAATTAAAATGAGAAACATAAAAGTTGCGATTAGTCCATGTAAAAATAAAATACCATGCCATTATTAAAAACAACATTCTTGTAAAAAAAAAAAAAACTAGTTTCCAAAACAAAAATATATTTGTGAGAAGAGTGGCATTGTTTCACACTTTTACAAATCTCCTGAATGCCTACCTTGACAGAAGACAGCTGGATTATTATAGCTTTCTCTGCATTACATCTATTGTGGTATGTTCTTCTGGTTGAGATAAACGAAAAAAAAAAAACCTTGTTTCACACATATGTGTAGCACTACTTTGATCGCTTTGGATCACTGTGGAAACTCCTCCTCAATACCACACCAAAACTGACTTTTCAGTTCTGGCCAAAACTGGTAGTAGTTTTCTAAAGGTTGGTTGCAGAGCAAAATCTGAAACTTTACCATTAAACTTTTTGTACCCTGCTACATTAAAATCCGTTTGTCTGTCTTGTACTTTGAATGACTCTTTTACTCATGCATGCTTTTGTAGGATCACACTTAAGATCTTTCAAATGTGACAGGCTTGCTTCATTCACTTAAAAACATGGCTGGGTGATGTGGCACACAACTGTAGTCCCAGCTACTCAGGAGCCTGAGGCAGGAGAATCACTTGAGCCCAGGAGTTTGAGTCCAACCTGAACAACACAGTAAGACTCTGTCTCTGAAAAATTTAAGAAAAAAGATTAAAAAAAAAAAAAAAAGGCTGCCAAAGACCTGAGTGTGGGTAACTGTGTTAATGATTCTTTCAAGTAAAACCTATTCCATGGCTGGTGTGGTGGCTCACACCTGTAATCCCAGTATCTTGGGAGGCCGAGGCCGAGGCCGAGGCGGTGGATCGCCTGAGGTCAGGAATTCGAGACCAGCCTGGCCAACATGATGAAACCTCATCTCTACTAAAAATACAAAAATTAGTTGGGCATGGTGGCAGGTACCTGAATCCCAGCTACTCCAGAGGCTGAGGCAGGATAATTGCTTGAACCCAAGAGATGGAGGCTGTAGTGAGCTGAGACTGCACCACTGCACTCCAGCCAGGGGACTCCGTCTCAAAAAAAACAAACGAACAAAAGAAAAAAAACAAGAAACAAAAAAAGTATTCCATGATAAAAAGTGACTAGCTAGCTTATAACTCAAAACAATATGCTTTTTCTCAAGACAGTTATCATACTTCGACAAGAAACTGAAGTGCTTTATGTGGATTTCCTATTTTGACAAATTATTAAGATGATGTGTACCAAAAGGTCAAGATGTAATAAAACTAATAATTTTAATGTTTCATCAAGAACATCCGTTTTTTAAAAAGCGTTTTGGAGAAATGGAGTCTAGCTGTGTTGCCCAGGTGGGTCTCTAATTCCTGGCCTCAAGAGATTCCCTCCACCTCAGCCTCCCAAAGTGCTGGAATTACAGATGTGAGCCACCACACCAGGTCGAGAATATTCTTTCTTTATTTTTTTAAATTGAGACACAGTCTCGCACTGTTGCATGGGCTGGAATGCAATGGCGCAATCTCGGCTCACAGCAACCTCCGCCTCCTGGGTTCAAGCAATTCTTCTGCCTCGGTCTCCCAACTAACTGGGATTAAAGGCACCTACTACCACGTCTGGCGAATTTTTTGTGTTTTTAGTAGAGACAGGGTTTCACTCTATTGGTCAGGCTGGTCTTGAACTCCTGACCTCGTGATCTGCCCTCCTTGGCCTCCCAAAATGCTGGGATTACAGGTGTGGTTAAGTAAAACTAGCATTTCTTAAACTGCAAGGGTGTGGTGGTGAGGAATCCAGCAAGTATCTGTGGAATTTGTACCACCGCCCCGACTTGTGTAAAGGCTCTAGCAGTTTAGTCCACCACTGTTTCTGGACCATCTGTACTGATGTCAATACAGTGGAAAAGCCTCTCAGGATCCTGTGAGGTTCACACACCACACTTTCAAAACTGCTTCTCTAAAACAGAGTCACTGCCAATTGTGATATCTTTTGAAATACCAATTGCACTCTTCTTCAGAAAGACAAAAGTTCTTTTGGCTTTAAATATCAAGAACCAAACAAGTTAAGGGGAGGTGACTAATGCAGTGCATACTTCAATAACAGACAGGGCCAATTTCCATACCTGACACTGAGAGGGGACTCCACGGAGAGCCCCAGGAGGGCACAAGCATCCCGTGTAAAGATGTCACAGATATCAGCCCACTGGTTTGCATCAAGCAGGTGAACATATGGTGAGTTCTCAATCCCTTGTCTCAGGTACACAAGGCTTCCCATCAAAACCTGAATGTCTAAAAAAAGTACCAGCAAGAAAGCATTAGTTTGCTTGCAGTAATAAGCTGCGAAAAGCAAGAATACCCCCACCCATACTGATACAGCCTAAAATAATGTATTAACAGGTCTTTAAAATTCTGGTCCTTAAGCTTGGTTTCTTCCTTCATCCTAAATTAAACAGCATGGAGAGAAAAGGAAAGGAGTGAAAATACTGAACTTATAATTTAAATTCTTATATACAGCATAGTATAATTACCATTACCTACAGAAGTAACAATTATGTCATCACATTATCTCTGATTGCAGAGTTAATGTATTCCTATACAAATACGTGGGGTTAACATTTGCTGCCTTGGCTCTCTGACACTTTGTTGTGGCAAAACAAGCAGCACACAGCCAGGTTGGGGTAGACGAGAGCAAGTGCACACCTTGCTCTTTCTCAGATCTCCTCTCAGTTTAATATGGAATTCCAAAATCTGCAACATCTCTGACTTCTAAGAGGCTTTAATATTTTTGTTTTTGTTCTAGAGCCAGTCAGAGCTTTTCCTGTGATTATCAACTACAACTGTTTACTGGCAAACATGTATTAGCTCTAGATAAGAACCATTAAGTTGGGCTGGGCGCGGCGACTCACGCCTGTAATCACAGCACTTTGGGAGGCCGAGGCGGGTGGATCATGAGGTCAGGAGATCCAGACCATCCTGGCTGACACAGTGAAACCCCATCTCTACTAAAAATACAAAAAATTAGCCGGGCATGGTGGCGGGCACCTATAGTCCCAGCTACTCGGCAGGCTGAGGTAGGAGAATGGCGTGAACCCGGGAGGTGGAGCTTGCAGTGAGCCGAGATCGCGCCACTGCACTCCAGCCTCGGGGACAGAGCGAGACTGCGTCTCAAAAATAAAAAACAAAAACAAAAAACAAAACAAACAAATAAGAACCATTAAGTTATAGTGGTGGCCATAGCCCTGTTTCAAACATTAATAACATCTGACTCCAGACTCACCTTTTTGATGATTCAGGGCAAATGGCTGAAAATTTTTAGCATACTGTAATGCCTCTCGTTGATTTGTGGTTCCACCCATTAACAAGCTAATAAAGTACAGTCTGTGTAGCTTAAATTCCAAGGAGCTGTTTTGAGCTATAAGCATTTCCCGGTTTGATACTGCCCACCTAAAGAAAAGGCAAAAAAAAAACTTTAAGAATAATCAAAAGCATAAGCAATGTGTCTTAAAAACTATTTGAAACCCAGTAAAACAAAAAAGGGGATTGGTCTGCCATCTTGTGGAAGTCTATGGTAACATCAATCCCTAGGGCCCAGACTTGTCAGGAAAGTAACCACCAGTAACTACACCTGCAGAGGCCCTTCAGCTAGTGAAAGAAAAAAGCATTAAAGCAGATGACAATCACTAGAATGACTCTGATGTGTCACATGATGCATCTGAACTTGCACAGGACCACACTTTGAAGCGGTGGCAGCCGTGAGATTCACAATTAGATTGCCTAGATCCACTGCCCTTTTCCTGTAAAACTGGCCTGATATATACAAGCATGAATCAAAGATCCTGAAAGGCAACTATACGTCTAAACTTTCAATAGTTGCAAGATTTTGTGTTATTCACTTTGGGATTAAAAACAGTAAACACCGTTATTTCCCCCCAAGGTGCTTTCAGTCTGATCAGGAAGATAAAGCTAGACAAATCATACAGTAAATCTTACTGTGCAAAATGATTTGTACAAACATAGTTCTAGTAAGGGAAAAAACAAGATTCTATTTTAACTGAGCCAAAAATACAGCACCTCAGGCTTCTACAGAACAAACAGTTGGAATAATCAATCTTGAACTGGTACTACCAGGTCAGGTGAGGGCAAAGGCAGGAAAGTATATAGTTAGCTGTTAAAATCAAATTTTGCGATAAGAGAATAAGGAAACATTACTTTATTTCTCTAAATATATTAACATATAGAAGCTGTTAGCATTATATTATTTAATTTGACCATCAGATAAGACAAATACTCCTCAGTTAACCCAATTCACCAAAGACCACTGGAATCTGAACTGGGTAAGAATATAAAATCTGAGTAACTCCACCAACTACAAGAGTAAAACCTTTCAAGTTATTTATAATGAATTTGCTGATTGGGATTGGACTTCACAGAGCTGCACTTTTACTGGGTCCTAACCTTCCCAGAAAGGGCTGCACATGCATATAAACATTCTAATTAACTTGCTGATGTATTCACATCTTACAGTCAAATCATGACGCTTCTCTGACTTCAAAGTCAGTGATTTTTAAAAATATTAATCATCTGGATCTTGGAAATACTTACCTAAATTTGTAAGCCTTGGTTCCTTGCCTGGCACTAAAATGATGCAGTCAAGTGGTAACACCAAGTGAGGTAAACCTGCTGACAATAAGGTACTTTTTGTTTTGAGACAGGGTCTCACTCTGTCACCCAGGCTGCAGTGCAGTAGCGTAATCCCGGCTCACTATAGCCTCAGCCTCTTGGGTTCAAGTGATCCTCCTACCTCAGTCTCTGAAGTAGCTAGGACCACAGGTGCATGCTGCCATTCCCGGCTAATTATTTTAAAAAATGTTTTTGTAAACATTATGTTGCCCAGGCTGTGTTTGAACTCCTGGGCTCAAGTGATCCTACTGTCTCAGCTTCCCAAAGTGCTGCAGTTACAGGTGTGAGCCTGGCCAACCAGCAAAGTACTTCTGGCAGTGGTCTTTTGCGAATGCCCTACCTCAATCAACAGTACCAACAGCACTGTGCTTTTTGCAGTCGCTAGCCTGCCAGTCTCTAAGCCTGCCAGGCACCTTATGGATTTCCAGTTCCAAGTAGTGCATTTAAATTAAATCACTTTCCAAAAGTTTATACACCCCTTCACTCATAAAAGCATAAGTATGTTTTCCTACTAGCAAATAAGGAAAGGCAGTAAGATTTTTCTTTTTTCTGTTTCTGATATGGGGTGTATGTGTAAGGGCTTGTAGAGCCAAAATACCGGAGCTATTTAATAGAGTAACTACGAATTTTAATTTTAAAAAAGTCAATAGAAAAAAGGAAAAGTTCATAGACACGATGCGGTCTCAGCTCAACACTGCAACCTCTGCCTCCCAGGCTCAAGCGATTCTCTCACCTCAGCCTCCCAAGTAGCTGGCACCACAGGCGCACACCACCGCACCCAGCTAATTTTTTGTAATTTTTTGCACAGAGAAGGTTTCACCATGTTGCCCAGGCTGGTCTCGAACTCCTGGGCTCAAGCAATCCTCCCGCCTTGTCCTACCAAAGTGATGGGATTACAGGTGTGAGCCACTGTGAACAACTTGAAAGTGTGATATATACAAATGTGATGAGATATAGACATACACACATTTTTTTTTTGAGACAGAGTTTCACTCTGTTGCCCAGGCTGGAGTGCAGTGGCACGATCTCAGCTCACTGCAACCTTTGCCTCCCAGGTTCAAGCCATTCTCCTGCCTCAGCCTCCTGAATAGGTGGGACTACAAGCATGCACCACTGCATCCAGCTAATGTTTGCATTTTTAGTAGAGACAGGGTCTCACCATGTTGGCTAGGCTGGTCTCAAACTCCTGGCCTCAGGTGATCCATCCGCCTTGGCCTCCCAAAGTGCTGGGATTACAGGCATGAGCCACCACATCCGGCCAAAAGTGTGATATATTTTTAAAAGTAACTTTTAGACACCAGAATGTTTAACAGTAATGACTCTGGGATTTCAAGTATTTTTTATCAACTGCTACACCATGGGCTATGACTAATCAGAACAAGGCACCAACTCTTAGATCAGCACCAGGGGTCTGAAACAACCAGGAAGACACACCAATCAATTCCAGCTGAACAGCACTGATAACAGTCTATGCTGTCCTATATTTTCCAGGTTTTCTGTAATGAACATGTATTAACTTTATACTTTAAAAGGTAATAACTTTTTAAGCTAATGTAAAAGTAAAATGTCTTAACTTCCTTTTAACGAACAGGCCTATAGAGTAATTATAAATTACTTTTCCTGAAAGTTATGAATTATCAATTTTAGCTTTATAAGCTAGAAACACCTGTACTCCACTTAACCTGGAGACGCATTTATTTAGACAAATATAATATTTAAAGTACTACTTAAATTTATGTTTGCACAGTTTCAAATTTTGCTATAAACAAGGCTATGAAATAAGAAAAGAAACTAGCATTGCTTAATTCCTCCCCTTTCCTTGCCAAGAAATATTTAGAAAAGTAAGTAGATACCTTTACAAAAAGGAACTGGGAGGGAGAAGACAACACAAAACCCAAACTCATACAACACAAGATTTCACATTTCTTAAAAGTCGTATTTCTTTTCATCCTATTCGTTTTGAAACAATGTACTATCCTCATTTAACCTCTTAATATTATACTAAGACTAAATTATACAAGGCAAAGGACTTCCAAGCTTCTCCCTCCCTGGCAAAATGTCTAAACTAAGGATGAGACACCCATTTTTAACTCTCCCAAACATTTAAGCACATGTAAGCAATTAAGGTGAAATCCTCACCTGACATGATAGGACCTCTCTCTTATACCTCCAGGACTGTACCCAGAAACCCACATTTGTATTTTGTTGACTTCAATTCCCTGGCCACAGTTAAGTGGCCAAATAAGCATAGGTTTTATTCAAAGTCACTCTCCACAGCTGCCTCCTAATAAGAAAGTGAATCTATTTTTAACTCTGTTCACTATTCTTCACTATTCTATGCCTTTTGCTAAGCTCTAGTATCAAGAGTTGCCTTCTGTGATGATCATCGTTAACATCTGCCTTAATGAATCATTGAAATCTCAGTACAAACTTCACAGCAGCATTCTTACTCACTATAACATCTTCCTCAGATAGCTTAACATTAGTCAATTCACAATTTCTGAACATGATAGAAGCCATCTTTCACTGGCAGTGAAGTTCTTCAATATCCTTGTAATTACCATCTTCTTTCAATAAGCCAACTATTACCAATTTGGCCCGAATAGTAGCCAAACCGGGACACACACACGCACACACGAAGTAAATGTTCCATCTAAACCACAAGCATCTTGCTATTCTAGTGCAATATAAGTGAAAAGATGGTGAAGTGACTTTACCCTGGTCTTCATAGTGACAGGACTTTTCCAATATGCTTTGTACCATTAGCTTCCTGTAGGCTTAGGTCTTGCCCTAGCTTCGTCTTGCTGTCATCCTTTTCAAATCTTTCTAATCACATTCAATTTCACTTCTAAGATTTTTCTTGTTGCCAAGTCCGTCTTCCAATTATTCATTCTTTGTAAAAGGTCACATGGATAAGGGAGTTAGGGAGGTAACACAACTACACACTTGTTGCCTGAGGGTAACTGACAGTAGATGCGCAGTGATCAAGAGCGAAGTGACAGAACTGGTCATGACCATGATGCGCCTGTTACGTCCTGATGCATAGATTGAAGAGCTAGCAGAGAAGTCTGTATTTTATACAATTGCTCACAGCTAATACATCATGGTGACTGAAATCTGAACTGTGTTGTTGGCAGCCAGGTGTTATTGAACTAAACTGTGGTAAAAACGAATTTATGTATCTTAGAAACCTGCAAAGACTGCCCACAGGTTCAGTAAAGAATACAAAGGATGGGTGCGGTGGCTCAGGCCTGTAATCCCAGAACTTTGGGAGGTCGAGGTGGGTCGATCACCTGAGGCTGAGAGTTCGAGACCAGCCTGACTGACATGCAGAAACCCCATCTCTACTGAAAATACAAAATTAGTCAGGTGTGGTGGCGCATGCCTGTAATCCCAGCTACTCAGGAGGCTGAGGCAGGAGAATCGCTTGAACCTGGGAGGCGGAGGTTGTGGTGAGCCAAGATCGCGCCATTGCACTCCAGCCTGGGCAACAAGAGTGAAATTCCGTCTTAAAAAAAAAAACAAAAAACAAAAAACAAAAACAAACAGGAGAGAAAGAACACAGAGATCTCAGTGGTAAGAGGTTACTTTATAAAGACAAGGAAGTTCCAGACTGATAAAATGAGGAAAGACATAAAGTTTGAGAAACTGAGCAGGTCAGGGTGTCTATGGCTCATTCTCATAAATCTTAAAGAATTACAAAGAAAATGAGATTAGTTTTCTATTTCTCACCAAAATGATTCCTGCCCCTGCCCCTCCCCCTT